TCAGGGCTTCAACGTAAGAACTTGGGGAGGTCATAGTTCAACTCATAACAGAACCTTTGATTCATTTCTCATGGACATGGGTAGGGGTAGGATAAATGGGGAAGGAAAATGTTTTTTAAAAAAAAAATTAATGGGATTATTCTTCCAGCCTTATTGTTCAAACAAGAGCATTCATAATCTTACATTTCAAGAGAGTGGGTGAAAAATAATGTAATCGTAGAATTTTCTTTTCAGTCTCCCATTTCTTAAAGTTTGACAGGCTTCATAACCCTGGAAATCTTGAGAAGCGACCTGAAAATGTTATTTTTGTTTTCTTTTTCTTCTTTAAATCTTAGCCCAAAGCGAGGATGATCTCTAGGAACAATATCCATAGAAGAAACTAAATGAAGAACAGTTAGCCTGAGTCTTGGGCCCACGAGAGGCAGGAAGTGACTTGGTGTTTCCTCTTCTGATAAGAACAGCAGTCATGCTGGGCTTCCCTGGAGGCTCAGCTGGTAAAGAATCCACCTGCAGTGCAGGAGACCTGGGTTCCATCCCTGGGTAGGAAGATTCCCTGGAGAAGGAACGCCTACTCACCCCAGTATTCTGGCCTGGAGAATCCCGTGGACAGAGGAGCCTGGCAGGCTATAGTCCATGGGGTCGAAAAGAGTTGGACATAACTGAAGCTACTTTCACTCATGTTTAATTAGGCAACTTCCCCCCCCCCCGCCACACACAGCCTCATTAAACCCAAGACGCCACTTACAAGCTGGGCGCTCAGAGGCTAAACCCATGGAGAAAGGTGCAGGAAAGAGTATCTAGCAGCACAGTGGGGTGGTGAGGAAGCTGGTGTGTTTCAGCCTGGCCTCCGGATGGAGAACAGAGTCTCCTTGAGAATTTGTAACTGCAGGTCTGCCTTTACATGGGCAGTCTGTTCAGATTTACACTGTTTGGTCTTTCCTGTCCTGAGAAATCAGATGTAAAAACAGTTTCCTGCTGCCCTAACTCCTGGTTTGACAGAAGCATGCACAGCATCTCTCCAAGGGGTGCTGCCTAGACCACCCCCAGAGGATCCCCACATACAGAGGCTCACTGAAGACATTCCCCCCAAGTGAGCCAGATTCAGAAAAGCGAACAGTGGGGGCGAGACTCCTGATAATAAAATAATTACATAGGACTTCCCTGGTGGTACAGTGAATAGGAACCCCCCTGCCAATGCAGGGAACACTGGTTTCATCCCTGGACCAGGAAGATTCCGCATTCTGTGGAGCGGCTGAGCCTGTGCCCCGCAACTTCTGAGCTGAGCTCTGGAGCCTGTGAACAGCAGCTCCTGAGCCCGTCCTCCACTTGAGAAGTCACCTCCATGAGAAGCTGGTGAACCACAGCTAGAGAGGTGCACAGCCCCAGCTAGAGAAAGCTTGTGGGCAGCAACAAAGACCCAGGACAACCAAAAACTGAAACTAAAAAAATTAGATATACAACCACAAGACAAGCATGCCTAAAATGGTTAAATATATAAAAGAACCAAAAACATGGGAAACAAGTAAAGTGCTCTCAAATAAAGACCAGATGAATTCGAGGGGGGAAATGCTTTAGAAATGAAAGGATAAAATGATTGGAATCAAAATCAGGATAATTACTCCTACTTCAAAAATTTTCAGGATGAAGTCAGATTTTTGAGAGAATTACTGGACAGGATTGTATTTCTTTCCTAACAAATAGAATATCCCCATGGAAAAGAAGTGGTAGTGGCAGCAGGGAGACCCAAACCCAGACCCGCAGACGTGTCACTAAATACAGTATTTTATTTCTTGTACCTCTGCTTTACCTTCCTCTGAGTGAGTGCCTCTGTGTACCGCTGGCCATGCTGCAGCCATCAGCAGCTCTCTGAATTCTCCCAGGGAAACCGAAAACTAATAAATCTGACGTGTATAAACCTCAAAGTGTCTCACATTCTCCTTCCTGTTTGCAGCATCACAAAGAAAGCAGTCCTGAGCTTTCCTAATTCAGCAGGGTCCAACTTAACTTTGGCTTTACCAACTCAAGCGACATGAGTTTGATCAAACTTCAGGAGATAGTGAAGGACAGGGAAGTCTGGCATGCTGTAGTCCATGGGGTCACAGAGAGTCGGACGTGACTTAGCAACTAAACAGCAAGAACAACTTAATTTGAAACACTGGAGGAGGTGGGCTGACCAGCTGGCTGTACTTTGTGATTGGAGCAGGGCTGTGGCAGAACGTGGAGTGGCTGTCCTGTGGCAGGGCAGGGAGAGGGGGTGGCTAGGTTGAGGGGTGGGTAGTGCTGTGTGCCCCATATACGAACCCTGGACAATGAGCTCAGTTAGCAAAGTCTGCTTTCTGTCAAGTGCTGGGAAGCTGCTGTGCACCTCTGTCTTAATCTGTTTGGGCTGCTACAACTGAATACCGTCAACTGGTGGCTGTAAACAATGGACACTCTCACCATTCTGGAGGCTGGAAGTCCAGGGTCAATGCAACAGCAGATTCAGTGTCTGGTGATGTCCTGCTTCCTGGTTCACAGACAGCTGTATTCTCTGTCCTCCTTGGCAGAAAGGGTGAGGGAGCTCTCAGAGTTCTCTTTAGGAGGATGCTAATCCTGTTCATGAGGGCTCCACCCTTTTGACCTAAGTGAAAAGAAAGGAAGAAAGTGAAAGTTGCTTACTCATGTCTGACTCTTTGCGACCCCATGGACTGTAGCCCCGCAGGCTCCTCTGTCCTTGGAATTCTCCAGGCAAGAATGCTGGAGTGGGTAACCGTTCTCTTCTCCAGGGGATCTTACCAACTCAGGGATTGAACCAAGGTCTCCTTCAATGAAGGCGAATTCTTTACCATCTGAACCACCAGGGAAGCCTGATGACCTAAGCACCTTCCAAAGGCCTCGCCTCCAAACAGCGTCACTTTGGGAGATAGGATTCACAGCTTCTCTTCTCATCTAAACTCCTCCAGCTTAGGACGTGGCTCTTAACCCCTTTCTGGAGATGAAGCATTGAGACTGTGAGCAGCTGACTACTCTGAGACCATGCAGCTGAGGACATGGAGGGACTTGCTGACCCTAAAACACAACCCTGTCAACTGCCATGTGACACTGGCTTTTGGAAATAAGGCCAGCATTTCCAAGCTTTATCCTGTGGAATACAGGAGTCCTAAAGGATGATAACCAGCATTACTGGGGAAGGGGGGACGTTCTGTTTGGCACACTCTTGTGTGCCCACATGAAGCTTACAGCACATGCTGAAGGCAGAATATCTGTCTTGAGGAAAGCCACTTAATTTGTTCAAACTAGCTCTTTCCACACTTGCTAGATCCTAGAATCTCCATTTTTGTTGCTGCTTTTTCTCTTGCAAAACAGTATTAACATTAGTTATAAGGAGATACAAATCAAACTATAATAAGACACCACAGCTTCTAGAACAACTATAATTAAAAAGAAACACCATAACAAGTGTTGGTAAGCATGTGGAAAAATTGGAACCCCCACTGGTTGGAGTGTAAAACAGTGCCATGGCTTTGGAAAGCATTTGAAGATCCTTCAAAAGGGTGACTGTGGGATTACTATGTCACTCAACTATTCCACTCTTACATATATACCAAGGAAATAAGGGTATAAGTCCATGTGGCCATACAAAACTTGTACATACACAGTCGTTCATAACTGCTTTATTCCCAGTAGCCAAAATGTGGGAAAAGCGCAACTGACCATCCACAGATGAGTGGATTGTAAAACGTGGTTTGTCCATGCCGTGGAGTATTATTCAGCCATGAAAAGGAATGAAAGGACTTCCCTAGTGGTCCAGTGGTTGGGACTTTACCTTCCAAATACAGGATGTGCGGGTTCCATCCCTGCTTGGGGAACTGGGATCCCACATTTCTCGAGGCCAAAAGGCCAAGATGGAACAAAGACAGTATTGTAACAAATTCAATAAAAACTTTGAAAATGGTCCACATCCAAAAAAAAAAAATCTTTAAAACAAAAAAGGAGTGAAGTACTGACGCGTGCTACAACAGGGACAGACCTTGGAAACGTTATGTAAGAGAAAAGTCTTGTCATCAAAGGCTGTATATTTTATGATTCCATTTATGTCGAGTGTCCAGAATAGGCCAGTGCAGATGACTGGTTGCTAGGAGCTGGGGGAGAGGAGGGATTGGAGAGGGACCTTTGATGGGTTTCTGTTGAGGGCGATCATCCTGTTTGACAATGATTGTGGCCACAGTTGTGCGACTCTAAATATACACAGAGCCACTGAACTGTACACTCTAACTAGGGGGACCATATCGTATGTGAGTTATATGTCCATAGGCTGTTTTTTAAAAACGAAATTAACTTCTGCCAACCCTAGGGTTTCACAGCACAGTCCGGGAAAGGTCATCACCAGAGCGGGCTCTGTGGCTGTGACACGGCCGATGTCCTGTGTCGCCTGAGGCTGTATCCCCATCAGAGCACCGTTGGCATTTGAGAAAATGTCCCCAGCAGGGATGGAGTGGCCGCTGCGGCATCGCGAAACTGTACAAAACCTAAAAGCAGGCGGCCGCTTTCTCCACGTGGCTTGTATTCTGGCAGCACCACTGCTCTTACCCACTTGAAAGGAGACCAGACACACGGACGAGCCTTGGAAAGCGTCTGAGTGGCTCCAGAGTACGAGACAGGGCTGAGTGTCCTGTCATACTGAATCTCCCCCAGTAGTACTGGGGCTTCGACGCAGGTTCAGTCCCTGGGTCGGGAGGATCCCCTGGAGAAGGAAATGGCAACCCACTCCAGTATTCTTGTCTGGACAATCCCATGGACAGAAGAGCCTGGCTAGCTACAGTCCACGGGGCTGCAAAGAGTCAGCTGTGACTGAGTGACTCAAGAACGGCAATAATAGCACTATTCTCTGTGATGAATCACTGTCACTGCCAGCTGGTCTGGACCTGGGGCCACGGGACAGCCACACACCTTTGAGTAGCTCCCCTACCATCTGGTGGTTGTGTGTTCACACTGTTCACACCCCTTTGTCTTCATTTCAGTGAAAGCTGGTGGGATGCGAATTGTGCAGAAACACCCGCATTCTGGAGACACCAAAGAAGAGAAGGACAAGGACGACCAGGAGTGGGAGAGCCCCAGGTAGGCAAGTTCTGGATTCACAAGTCACCTTTATTCAGTTAAACATTAACGTTTGTTCTCTGCTGCGTGCTTCCGATAAACCCTGGGCTCCTGGGGCCCTGTGCTGTGAGCTTTTCCCCTCCTGATCAGTGAGGAGAGGGTTCTATCCCCCAGACAGAGGAGAAACAGGACAGCTAGAGCATACCTTCTTCCTTTGCCCTAAAAAAAAAAAATCTTTAAAACAAAAAAGGAGTGAAGTACTGACGCGTGCTACAACAGGGACAGACCTTGGAAACGTTATGTAAGAGAAAAGTCTTGTCATCAAAGGCTGTATATTTTATGATTCCATTTATGTCGAGTGTCCAGAATAGGCCAGTGCAGATGACTGGTTGCTAGGAGCTGGGGGAGAGGAGGGATTGGAGAGGGACCTTTGATGGGTTTCTGTTGAGGGCGATCATCCTGTTTGACAATGATTGTGGCCACAGTTGTGCGACTCTAAATATACACAGAGCCACTGAACTGTACACTCTAACTAGGGGGACCATATCGTATGTGAGTTATATGTCCATAGGCTGTTTTTTAAAAACGAAATTAACTTCTGCCAACCCTAGGGTTTCACAGCACAGTCCGGGAAAGGTCATCACCAGAGCGGGCTCTGTGGCTGTGACACGGCCGATGTCCTGTGTCGCCTGAGGCTGTATCCCCATCAGAGCACCGTTGGCATTTGAGAAAATGTCCCCAGCAGGGATGGAGTGGCCGCTGCGGCATCGCGAAACTGTACAAAACCTAAAAGCAGGCGGCTGCTTTCTCCACGTGGCTTGTACTCTGGCAGCACCGCTGCTCTTACCCACTTGAAAGGAGACCAGACACACGGATGAGCCTTGGAAAGCGTCTGAGTGGCTCCAGAGTACGAGACAGGGCTGAGTGTCCTGTCATACTGAATCTCCCCCAGTAGTACTGGGGCTTCGACGCAGGTTCAGTCCCTGGGTCGGGAGGATCCCCTGGAGAAGGAAATGGCAACCCACTCCAGTATTCTTGTCTGGACAATCCCATGGACAGAAGAGCCTGGCTAGCTACAGTCCACGGGGCTGCAAAGAGTCAGCTGTGACTGAGTGACTCAAGAACGGCAATAATAGCACTATTCTCTGTGATGAATCACTGTCACTGCCAGCTGGTCTGGACCTGGGGCCACGGGACAGCCACACACCTTTGAGTAGCTCCCCTACCATCTGGTGGTTGTGTGTTCACACTGTTCACACCCCTTTGTCTTCATTTCAGTGAAAGCTGGTGGGATGCGAATTGTGCAGAAACACCCGCATTCTGGAGACACCAAAGAAGAGAAGGACAAGGACGACCAGGAGTGGGAGAGCCCCAGGTAGGCAAGTTCTGGATTCACAAGTCACCTTTATTCAGTTAAACATTAACGTTTGTTCTCTGCTGCGTGCTTCCGATAAACCCTGGGCTCCTGGGGCCCTGTGCTGTGAGCTTTTCCCCTCCTGATCAGTGAGGAGAGGGTTCTATCCCCCAGACAGAGGAGAAACAGGACAGCTAGAGCATACCTTCTTCCTTTGCCCCGAACAAATCTAAGTGGATTCATCCGTCTTTGGGCAGAAGCCCTCCACCACCACATTAAAATCACCCACAGACCTTTGAAAATGCCATTCTAGTTGAGTCTCTGGGCTGTCAGGGCAGAGAACCAATGATTTAAACAGTGTTCACAAGTGTTAGGGTTTTGCCAGTTTCAGCCAAACCTTGAATCACCGAGGCCACACCCTGATGAGTGACCGAGTGCCCTTAAACAATGTCTTTGCCCCCAGATCCCTGGGTCCCCCAAAGCTCACCTTCCTGCAACACCACCATCTCTGTTTACACCTGCTTTCCTGGCAGGTTCTAATGTCAAGTTTGGTCCAAGGACCTTGATACAAGCCCATCTCCTCCCACCCATAACACACATTCAGTGCCCACCTGTCTCTGAGCCGATCCCCAGAAAGAGAAGTGAACAGCAAGCTTTGCACCTTGTCACTCATCACTTAAGCTTTGCACCTTGAAACTCGTCTCTGGCCGAGTCTCAGCCAGAGGGAAAGGGAGTGTGGAGAGCAGCCAGTGCATGTTTGTGCATTTCATTCCAGCAGTCCTGAAGAGCAGGTGGAATGCTCCCCACGTTACACATGGGAGACTGAAGTCCACAGAGGTCAATGCTTGCAACACTGAGCAGGGATGAACCCCACGCTTGGGGTTCAGAGCAGGCCAGGCTTCCCAAAGGATAGCTCCTGACAAGAGGCGCCCCCCGAGAAGGACGAGCATGGGTTTGGTGATCCCACATAATCTGCTTACGTAGATGCTGTGCCGTTGGGTATTTTCTGTAAAAGCTTGGGTGTCACTTAGGGCGGTCGCTGGAGGGGAGGACAAAATTGGGGGAGAAGTTTGTGAGTGATTATTGCCCATTTTAAATCATGAGATATCAGCACTAGGAAAGTCAGCTCAAGTTCTGACTTTTTAAAAGAAGAAGGTGGTTTAAAGAAAAGTCTTGAATTTTCTTTCCACTATTTTCACAGATTTGTGTTTGGAACATAACAGCATCAGGAATCTCCTACAGGTCCACGGTCCTGTATTTGAAAACCGTCGGGCCTAATTCATATCAGAATTCAGAAATTCTAATGTTTTGGGAGAGGAAGCAGGTTTTAGCTGAATAAGGCTGTATGTATTTCATATAGTACCTGTTGTGGGGTCTCAACAGGTTGGAATCTGTGTATGATGTTAATACCTGCTGAGATTCATTTTAAAGATTTACAGACTTGGACCAGTTCAGGGTAAGTTTCGCCTGCATAAGAGTTAGAACTTTTGGTGTTGAGAACATTCTTGGACTTGGAACCAAGGATAAAAGCATGTGACCTGTAGCATTCTTCCGCTAGAAACCTGGAATGTCATTTCCCTTCATATCCACTGGTTCCTTAAGAAGGGAGAAAGGATGAGACAGAGCTGTATCTAGGGGGGAAATGGAAACCCTGGGAAATTAATGAAACATGCTTTTCTGCATGAGTTTAAGTGGAATAAGGGACAAATAGCTACTTCTGTGTGTAACACAGTGTCAATACAGTGACAACTGATCATTTCTTAGCATGTTTAGAAATCAAGACAGAACAGCCCATTCGTTTTCTTTCTACTGATTTTTTTTTTCTCATGAGGTGAAATACAGTGTTTATGGAAGATGCACAGTGTAAATAAAGGTGCCAGAGGATGAATGATTACAATAGAAAGGAGGGGAACACCCAGCACCCTAGGTTTTAGCTCTCACCCACCGTGAAGGCTGGTTTGCTCTGGATCCAGGTATTTTGAGTCTGGCTGACTGCAGGGCAGGGTTTGCATATGAGCCAGGGTGTGTTTGTTCCCTGCAGTCAAATTGTTGCGCCGTGTTCCCTGTGGGGGTGATAGCTTTTGTCCTCTGGGCTCTGGCTTCTCTCCTCACTGCTGCAGGTTAAATCCCCCCACGCTGTTGACAAAGGTGGGGGGAAGCCTCTGTCGACGCTGCAGCTATCGGCACATGTTGCCAATACAACTCCTTCCAAACTCCCCGCACCAGACCTGGAACTCTGTGTAATAGCCTACTTCCACCACCACGCAGTCTCCATTTTTCTAGTGGGCTAATTGAATAATTATAGTTAGTAGTGATCACTGATGGTATACAGAGTGCAGTGGACCTAGCCCGGTTCTAACGGGGGCTCTGCCCATGTTGACTCATTTGATCCTTGCAACTACTCTAATCTCATCCCCCTTTGGGAGTTGGCTCTTGATTATTATCCCGATTCCAGATTACTACTCCCACTTCAGTGGCTCAGAGAGGTTAAGTGACTTTTCCAAAGGCATACAGCAAGTGAGTGGCAGAGCCAGCATACCAGACTGGCAGCTGTGTCCAGAGCCCCCTACTCTTAGCCCCTGGGCTATGTGTACCAACTGAGTGCCTGTTTTGTGCTGGGCACTTAGTAAGTGCTTCCCATTGGGTTTAATGTTCACACCACCTAAAAGCTGCCCATTACACAGATGAAGAAACCGAGGCTCAGTAAGCTTATCTGACCCAATCAGTGGTCTGGCCAGGATTCAGCCCTAACTGTCTTAACTTGGAATCCCATGTCCCTAATAGGGTACAGAAACCCTCTGAACTGACGAAATATTTTCAGGATCAATATAGACTGTAAATCCAGAAAAATGAAGAAAGTATTAGTAGCTTAGTCATGTCTGACTCTTTGCAACCCATGGACTATAGCCTGCCAGGCTCCTCTATCCATAGAGTTCTCCAGGCAAGAATGCTGAAGTGGGTGGCCAGTCCCTTCTCCAGGGGATTTTCCCAACCCGGGGATCAAACGCAGGTCTCCTGTATTGCAGGTGGATTCATTACCATCTGAGCCACCAGGGAAGCCCTAGATCCCTCTGTAAAATAAACATCGATTCCAGGGTTGCCCGTAACCTTTCCCATATTCCTCAAGCCCACAATCCCACCCATGCAACCTCACCAAAGTAGATGGCCTAATTACAGCTTATAATAAGCTTTCAGGACACTGGGCTGGTTTCCTTACATGTGGAAAGGCCATAGTTATTTCCTGAATTAGTCAGGTATGTAATGTTTTACATTAATTTCTTTGGAAATGCCATGGCATGTGACTTCAAAATTCACATTACCCTCATTCTAAAGTTTTCTATTTTATCATGTTTTGAGCCAAGCATTCTCCAGATATGAAAATAAGTGCATGGTCTCAGATGCCAATTTCCTCCTTGGATCTGCATTTGCAAAACTCTCTGCTTTACTTCCTAGATATTTAAAGCTGGCTTTGCATTTACTGACTCATCTCTGGTGGCTTCCTTTCCCAATCAGAAAATCAAATACTGATTGCAGAGAAAATGAACAACTGGAGCATTAAAGAGGTTGTTGTGTGACCCCAAAAAACCTCAAAGCACTCTTACTTGTACTTTCCTTTTGCAAATCTTTGTGTTATCCTTTGCCCCCTTAATCCTCATTTTTCAGATATTAAA